TTTCTAATTCTCTCTCTACCTTCCTCTCTGTAAAAATTCAACAAAATACATTAAAAAAATAAAATAAAATCCAAAGTCAGATTGTATTGGAGTCTCTTTCCCAGCCGGCGTAGAAAGAGTTCCAATTCAGGGTTCAGCTTCTGGAGAAGGGCCGCACACAAATGAAGAGACTTAAAGAAATTTAATTTGGCGATTTGGGGGGCCAGGCGGTAGTCCAACTCTAGTGGGAGAACTACCACTGCTCTGGCCCTGCCATCCCCTTTTATTGAGGCTTAACAGCTGCTTCAACTTAACATAATCTCAACTAAAGGTTTAAAGCAATTGAGGTTGTTGACCAGCCTTCCTGGCTTCCTGTCAACATCTCTTTCCCAGCTGAAAAAGATTTGGTTTCCAGCATCTCCCCCGTTTTCTTTCCCTAAAAAATTTTACATACGTAGACTACAAACAAAAAATGAAATAAGCAACAATGGCTATGCTGAGAGTCAAATGAAATCAGTCTGCAGTACATTTCTTTCTGGGCCAACAGTTTTTGAATCCCAGATTCAGTGTCACACAGTTTTTTGAGTCCAAATTTTAATGTCCAACAGTTCTGAGTCCATGACAGCAATGGTATCCGGATGGTGGAAAAATGGTGTCAATGCAGGTCCGACCTCTGGTTTGGTCCTGGACGACCTGCAGTGACGCACATCTGCAGACTGCTAATATGGCAAGGCGTCGTCAGCATCTTCCATCTCTGGTCTGTTTTTCCTCCTGTCTTTATGGCTGGAGTATTCCTGTCAATTCTTCTCTGTTGCAGGAATCCACATGGTCTTAGAGTTGTTTTCTGAAAATATACAAACATATCTCGACCAAAATTAATAAAGGAATCTTTTCTATAAATTTTACTTGGGATACTTTTAATTTTTTGCCCAAACAATTTTTCTTTGACTTATTTTGGTACTATGTGTGTTTTTCATGGCTGTCTTACTGTTATCATTACAAATGATTTTGAAAAATTGGTTTTCAAAAGAAGAAAAATTTTTCTAGATGTAATTTACTTACAGGACACATTTTTTTTTTTAACATGGTATTTTCCACTATCCCCCTTTTTCTATTTAATTATTAGTAGGCTTTTGGAAAAATTTTATAATGCTGTTTTGATAACTTTTAACTTTTAATTTTTTGTACAAAAACTATGACTGCTTTAGGGTTTATTGTATGTTAAACAATTTTACCATGAAATGGACTACCGATAGAAATTTTGGTTAATACTTTAGGAACAGCCTGTTGTACAATTAAATTTTCTTGAATATTAACTCATTTCATTTAGCCAATTTAAATTAATTTGAAAACTTGACGATTTTACTGTCAAATTTAATACTTTAACAACATTTTTAGTTTACTCTGTAAATATTAATGGAAAGGATTATATGCATCCTTAAGAAAGCCCTGAGCACTCATAGATTTAGGCTGGATTTAGATGTAGGACAGTCGCCATCAGCCACTTTTCTGTTGCTTAGGTCTCAATAAGAGCCGTGCCAAGTCTCTTGTTTGTAGCTGGGTCTCAATCTGAGCTGGACCAAATCTGTTTGTTGCCTGGGTCCCAATCTGAGCTGGGTATGGGAAGCGTGAAGCAACCATGGGGCAGGAGACATCCCTCAAAAGGGCGAGTGTTCAAGCCTCTGCAGCGTTGGGGGGGTGAGGATCTGTGCCCCACCTCTGTTGGCCCCCAGGTCCTCTCCTGATGGCCCTCTGCGGCTGTGCCTGTCTTAGGTTGTCCCTCCCGTGAGGAATCTTACCCGTCATTGGCTAACCAGCCATCCTCCAGGGCCAAGCAGGGTGATGTGAGGTTCAGTTCTGTCTCCTTGTAGCCTATGCCCCTATGGCCTCCATGCCCAGTACCTGCCTTGGGATCCCCTCGCCTGCTGGCGGGGCCCCGGCATTGATCACAGATCTTAGGGAACCCAGGTTTCTTCTCCAGGGAGGATCCAGCTCACCCCATTGTGTGAGAGACGGATCCATAGTACCAGCCACCATGAGGTTTTAACCTCAGCATGAACTGAAAACTCAAGCAACAGCTGTGGGCAATTATTGTGACGAGAGGGTCCCTCTTCGCAAATAAGGCAAGAAAGGCCAATATAGAATGCTCAAGTACCTTCCCAGTGAGGCTTTCCACACAGCGGGAGGGATTAAATCCTTTCATATCCTTTTAAATTGTTGCCAAACATTCAAAAATTAGATTTTTAATTTTGTTTGGAATAATTGTACAATATGCTGTTGTAAAATATCAAAAATTATAAATCACATTGTAGAATACCATGCAAGGATATTCTTTGTTCTAAGCCAATGGCAATTCAAATTTAAACTGGCTGTCAATTTCTTTTTGTATAGACAAGGTCTTACATTCTCTGCACCTCTCCCAGGAGCAAGTAGTGATATTCCTCTACTTTGGTGCAAGCCAGAAACCTCTCTTTAATTTTATACACAAAGAAGCATTGGTTTGATTTTGTGTCATACAAAAAAGGAAGCTGGGTGGCAACACCTGTGTAATTATACTTCCTTGCCCCACCCATTTTCCTCCTGGATGACCAAGGTGTTTAGTATTATTGGTGACTACATTGGCAAGGGATCAGCCCACATAAGGGCTTTTACCCATGAAGGGTCAGGAACATAAGTCCTAAACACTTCCACATTTGTCCCAGGTAATATTACCGTACAGATGATTACTGCTAACATGGCAAGAAAGACATTCTCAGGTGTCAGGCGTCTGTACCGTCTTCTTCACCATGCGCCAGGAAAGTTAACTGCTTTCCTTTGCCATTAACAATACATACCTATAAACCTTCTAAAATATTTATATTTATTAATTTTTATTTGATAAGGCTTTCCATGCAATTTCAAGTTTATTAAATCTGTTTTAAATCATTTAAGAAGAGAATAAATTTCTTGTATTTCTCCGGGCCCTTGGAGCTTTCCAAGAATCATCTCTGTTAAGGCCTTGAAATTTTAACGTGGAAAAAACCATCAAACAAATATCTATATCCATATATGATTTAAATATTATAATACCTTTTATTATTATCTTAAGATATCAATTAAATTTAGACTAGTTTTTGCATAGAAAATATTTGGTTGAGATCACAGAATTAATCCTCTTTTTTAATTAGACCAATAATAAGTAACTTAATTTTAATTCCTAATTATTAGAGAAAACACACTTTCTATTTTCTCAAAAACAAGTTATGCTTTAGGTATTTTAATTACCACAACTATATAATTTTTTCCAATTTTAATTTGCACTTTGAACTTTTAAAGCTGGCAAATCAAATATATATTGCATGACCTAGATTAATGACACTTTACATTTCTAAGAAAAATACAAGACATAATTAAGAGCTTCAATTCTGTCCTCTAGATTTTTTATGAGGCAAATTTAAACTTTACTTTTTTATTTTTATAAGTAAGCAAACTTCCACAAAAATTTTGCCACAGGAATTTGGAGGAAGTTTGTAGCCATTCAAATGCAAGTTACCACATTCCTTAGCTTACTGAGAGAGTGGTCTTCCTTATAGGATTGCCTTGTGTCTCTTTCCTTCCCCCACATCAAGCTTACTTTGGGAGAAGTTTCAACAGATCTGGCCACACATTTTTTCATGCTTAATAGATAAAGACAGATCTCAAAAATTTTTTTCTTTCTCTTTTGCTTTCTGAAGTAATAACTATCACCCAATTTGGCCAAGATAACACCTAGTTTGCAGGTTCTTTTATAACTTTTAAACAAAGCATTAAGTAATCTCATTTTCGGAGAGCAGATGGCTCTGCCCTCTCCTGCCACCTTTGAATTTCTCCGCACCAGAGGCGATTTCAGCAGTGGAGTCTCATTTCTTATTACAGATTTTAAATTCCAAATACAGACTAAGATTTTAATTTGAACAAGAAACCACATTCTTTAAGCATACAAACCAAAATTCTATAATAAAGTTTACTTAATATTTATAACCTAATTCTTCCCCATTAGCCTGGCTGAAAAAAGACGTTCCCACCCTGCTTACAGTTCGCGACTCTGTAGCTGGCCGTGGGCTTTGAGTGCGATGAATTTCCCTCACCTTTTTTCTGGTGAATCTTCCCTCACCTTTTTCTGGTGAATTTTCCCTCACCTTTTTCTGGTGAATTTTCCACACCTTTTCTCGGTGTATTTTTCCTCCTTCGCTCTAGGCAAAAAATACCTTCTCCTCCAGAAGTCCCGCGTTGAAGGCGCCAGATATTGGAGTCTCTTTCCCAGCCGGCGTAGAAAGAGTTCCAATTCAGGGTTCAGCTTCTGGAGAAGGGCCGCACACAAATGAAGAGACTTAAAGAAATTTAATTTGGCGATTTGGGGGGCCAGGCGGTAGTCCAACTCTAGTGGGAGAACTACCACTGCTCTGGCCCTGCCATCCCCTTTTATTGAGGCTTAACAGCTGCTTCAACTTAACATAATCTCAACTAAAGGTTTAAAGCAATTGAGGTTGTTGACCAGCCTTCCTGGCTTCCTGTCAACATCTCTTTCCCAGCTGAAAAAGATTTGGTTTCCAGCAGGATTGTGTGTGCATTTTTTCCAAACTAGCTTTCTCTCTTTACGCGGGCACAGAAATCCCAGACCCATTTCTAAATTTTTAAAAACTTTTTCATGGTTAAAAAAGAGACTTTATTTTTTTTAATTTTATTTTTTAAATATATTTTATTGATTTTTTACAGAGAGAAAGAGAGAGGGAGAGTTAGAAACATCGATGAGAGAGAATCATCGACCAGCTGCCTCTTGCACACCCCCTACCGGGGACATGCCCGCAACCACGGTACATGCCCTTGACCGGAATTGAATCTGGGACCTTTCAGTCCGCAGGCCAACGCTCTATCCCAGGGGTCTGCAACCTTTAAGACATAAAGAGCCACTTGGACCCGTTTCCAAAGAAAAAAAAACCTGGGAGCCGCAAAACCATTGCGACATTTAAAACAAATATAACACTGCATATATTGTTTCTTACCTTAATGCTATATACCGGATTGTGCAGTTAGCTGTCAATCTGGAGAAAAAAAGGACTTTTTCACTTAACAATGTAAAATATATTTTTGCAAATTAATAGCTAATTAAAATATTTAATTTACCTGGTTAATGGGATTTTTGCTCCTGAACCTCAGTGCACAGTGTCAGCACATCAGGGCTGTAAGACGTTACCTTCATTTTCACACGGGCTTGCAAGTTGTCGGAGCCGCGGTAAAGCTTCAAAAGAGCCGCACGCGGCTCTGGAGCCGTAGGTTGCCGACACCTGCTCTATCCACTGAGCCAAACCGGTCTCGGCTAGAAAAGAGACTTTAAATTAGTACATATGGGAGAGTGGGTGTCCATATCACGTGTCTCCCTTCCCCCACAACCTGCTTGCTTTGGGGGAAAGTTTTCAGTAACAGATCTGACCAAATTTCTTTTTATGCTTAATAAAGACAGATCTTAAACTTTTTTCCTTTTTCGATTTCCGAGGTAATTAGTAGCACCTAAGCTTATCTTTGCCAAGTTTTTCATTTCCCAGCGAGTTCTTCTATAATTTTTTAAACAAAACTTTAAGTAATCTTATTGTGGGAGAGTGGATAGCCCTTCTTCTCCTGCCACCTTTGAATTTCTCGGCACCAGAGGTGGTTTCGGCAGCGGGGTTTCATTTCTTATTACAGATTTTAGACTCCAAATACAAATTGAGTTTTTAATTTGAACAAGAGACCACATTCCTTAAGCAGCTGACAGAGCGTGGCTAGTATAAGTATAGCTGCTCCCCAATATTCTATTTCTGTCCCTAACACCACTGCTGGACAGGAGGTAAAGCAGGGGAGTGGGTTTCTTCTGAATATCCCGCCCGGAGATATTCTGAATGTCTACCACCAGGCGATAACACTGATTATTCACTTCAAATCCCTTCGCCCCTGTGGGGAAGAGGGGGGGCGCAGATTTTAGGGTGTAGGACCTGAGCTCCCCCGTCCAACCCCCTCCCCATACACCTGCTACCTTACCCCGCGGGAGGCGGTCCACCTGTGCCCTCACAGGGGGCTCCGTCAAACCTCAGCGGCAGGAACTTGCTGACCGAGAACCTTCCCAGCGAGCCGCCAGCTGGCTGGGGAGACGGGGTCGTAATGCCGGTTCCCGGGTCAGGGCCACCGGCGGCCGTGGGCTTCCTGGGCGGGGCGGCGGGGCCCGGGAGCCAGTGCCCGGCGCCGGGCGGTCCCGGAGGCAGCGCGGAGGGAAGCGGCCCCCTCACCGGCTCAGCCCCCAGCCGCTGCGCCTGTGTTCCCGTCGGTCCGGTGGGGACCGGCTGGCGCCGGCTGGAGGGTGTTGTGTAAAGCCCTCCCTCATCGCCGCCGGCTCGGAAACAGCTCGTCTTTGCAGACCGCCCCCTGCCGTGTGTGCCGGCTGACGCCCGCCCGCCCGCGCCCGGAGCGAGCTGAGCCACGTGAGGGCAGAGGCCAGCTCGCGGGCGCCGGGCGCGCGGGCAGCCGCCGGGCACCCGACGCTCACGGAGGGGCTTCAGTTTCCGTTCCTCCGGCGCCCCGCCCCTCAGCCCCGCCGCGGCGCGCGGGCCGCTTTCCCATTGGCCGGCGGGCCGGGCGGGCCAATCCGGGCGCTGGACGCGGAAATCTGGGCGGAGCGCGCGGAGGGGCGGGTGGAGGCGGCCGCGGTCGGGCTGTGCTCGCGGAAGGTTGCGACCCGGAACTGGCCGCCCGGCCCCGGCGACGAGGACACGGCCCGAGCGAGGCTCCGGCCCGAGCGAGGCTCCGGTGAGTGGGACGTCGCTCGAAGAACGGCGCCCGGCGCCTCCCCGGCCCGGGGCCCCCGCATCCCGGGCCCCGCGGGCGCCGAGCGGCTCTCGCCGGACGGGAGGAAGCGGCCCTGGGCTGGCTGCCGGGAGCCAGCAGACCGCCTGCCCCGCACCGTGACCAGGGTCATGTTTTCTTTCCTTTTTAGCCGAATTGACCGGTTGAGTCACGTGTGCTTGGAGCCGCGGCGCGTCCGTATCGCTGCCGGCTCTGCGGGTCCGGCCGCGGCGGGAGCGGCTGTGGGCGCGGAGGCCGCGCTCCCGCCCCCGCCGAGTCCACGGCGGCCGGCGCTCAGGCCTGCGCGGGGCCTCGGGCTCACTTTGGCCGCAGCCCGCGCCGGGGCCCTTGCGCCGTGCCGCCTCGCCGGGCCGGCTGTTCCTGGGCGCCGGCGCTGGGCGCTGCTGCTGAGCGGCGGGCAGGCAGGTTTCCTTGGTTTTTACCTGCTTCTGCTCCAGGGTCCCACCAGCTCACCTACTCCCACATCTCCTCACGCCCCCCTGGGGTGGCAGTGTCCCAGGCGTTCCTTGTTTCTGACGACCTCAGTTTTGAGGAATACTGGTCATGTGTATTGTACGATGCTCCTCTACTGAATTTGCCTGCTATTTTCCCCTAAGATTGGGCTCATGGGAGGACTCCCTACATAGGTTGCATTTCATCACATCATATCAAGGGTGCACACTACCAGCAGTGTTTGGGATTCTTTGGCATGGCAGAGTTGTTCTTCTGAACTTACCAGGTGTGGGCGAGTCTGATTCAGGCCTTCACAGGAGCCAGGACTGAGAGCAGCACGCGCAGGGCCAGGGGTGGGCAGTGGAGCCTGGAGAAAGTTAAGTTCCTGGCGATGGTCCTGGTCACTGTATGTGGTGAGCCGGTTGCAAGTTGGACTTGTAGTAGGGCCAGGTCACAAGGCCTGTGTGCCCTGCTGTGCACTCTGACCTCAGCGGGAGTGTGGAAGCAGGAGAGGAATAAGATGACGTGTGTTAGGCTCCCTGCAGCACTTCATAGGAGGTATGCCACATCTCACCAAACCACTGCATGGAAATATGTTGACAGTCAAATTATGACATGCCATTGGTCACATTGACTTTAGTGACACTAAATAATGATTTGGATATCAAATTTGATGAAAAATGGAAACTCCCAGCAGATGGCTTAGATCCTTCCTCCAGGGAATGGATGGTTAGTGCCACTCAATCTCATTAACCCATGAATGTTGAGCTCACTACTCCTTTTTTGATCTTGAAAAAACTCTTTGATAAACTGCTGCTTTCTTGTCTGATAGCCACATTGTCAGACAGCACAATGGAGCTGCGTACCTGACCCAGAGGTTCGGCCTGTTGATGGCGCTCTGGTTGCCCTAATAATAGCCGCAGCTGGATGCTGCACAAAAGACATGCCAGCTGCTTGCCAAACCTTTATTCCGGTTTGTCCTGTTGTAATAGAAAAACTCAGTCCAACACTCACATGAACAGCCGCATGACGGGATATATAAGGCAAGGTCTGGGAGGGTTCAGACTACAGGAGCGTCTGTCCCTGTGGAGTTGGGGTGTGTCCACCCATCTGGAGGCTCCCCGAATCCGGCGCCATTGGGATTTGTGGAGCTTCCTCATAGGCGTGACCAGTATAACTCCCTTCGCAGCCCTCTCCCCTCTTGGCTAGGGGAGATGGGGCTGAGTCCCAGGCTTGTGTTCATGTCTCGGTCTTCTGGGCGAGCAGGCCCTTCCCGGAGTTGCCTCAGTAGAGGCTCCCGTCACCAGGAGTGACCAGGGTTTCAGGAGCCCTGCGTCAGGAACGGGAGCAGAGACTGTTGTGGGCAACCCTCGAATGACGACCACCAGTCAGCCAAATTGGAATTTAGGAAGCCTTTATTACGTACGTACTCGAGTCCGGGCTCACGTCTCAACTGACAGAGCAGCCAGCAACGAGAGCCCCGACCCACTCTAAGCATGCTACTTTTATCCCCATCTTAGGGATGCCTGGCAGATTATGATTGGCTAAAGTTTTGACAAAGAAAGGTCAGTTACAAGTTATAGAAAAATTCCACTAGTACAGTAACATTTAAAGTTTAGCCAAAATCAGTTTGGCTCAGCAGTAGAGCATCGGTCTGCGGACTGAAAGGTCCCAGGTTCGATTCCGGTCAAGGGCATGTACGTTGGTTGCAGGCACATCCCCAGTAGGGGGTGTGCAAGAGGCAGCTGGTCGATGTTTCTCTCATCGACGTTTCTAGCTCTCTATCTCTCTCCCTTCCTCTCTGTAAGAAAAATCAATAAAATATATTTAAAAAAAATAAAGTTTATACAACACCTGGGGTGGGGGTTTATTTTCAGCTTAAGCAGCCTCTGACCTGGTTTGGTCTGTTTGTTCTGCCTTGCGACTACTGGAAACAGGACATGCCTGTCTGGGGGTTGAGCCTTGCAACAGAATTATTTTATGGCTAACAGTAGTCTTGCTGGCCACAACAAGACTAGAGCATATTTTTCTATTATCTCATAACCCTGAAAGGCCTGGGTACGCCCTCCTACGCCTACCTGTTTGTGGTGATCCTGTGACCAGAAAGGTCCGGAGATCTAGCCCCAGGCTGCACAGTAGAGCAGCTGGGCTAGGTAAGAATCCCCGCCTTAGTCCTAACCCTGACTCGCACTTCCGGCATTGGCAGAGGACAGCTGGGGGGAGAAGACTGCCTGTGCTCCTCTGCCCAGGGCTGGGGGCAGGCGCGGGGCTGGGGGCAGGCGCGGGGGCTGGGGGCAGGTGGGCCGGAGCCCTGCTACAAGACCTCTGTCTAGATCACACATGTCAAACACAAGGCCCGCGGGCCAAATCTGGCCCGCCAGGCCTTGCAATGTGGCCCGCACTGCGCTGTCATCACTGCAGTCCGCTGCGTTCCATCACAATGACGCGCGGTGACATAGGAGGCTTGTGATCTCGCTGGCCGCCTCGCCAGCTGCCGTACTTGCTATCTATTACGCATGCTCATAGATAACAAGTCATGCGAGATTCAGGAGGCGTGACCTATAGTCTGGCATCCGATGTGGTTGTGCGGGTGGCAGAGCAGAGGAGAGAGTGAGTGTGCGGGCATAAAAAATACACAGCAGAAGCTGCCAGTTCCTGGCATAAAGTGCAGGCATAAAAATCGCAACAGAATCTGCTATCTGTACCCAGCCAGGCATTTATTGACTGACTTTTTTTTCCTCCACTCCATCTGCCAAATCAAGCTATCCCTGTGCAGTTTTCAACTTTTTCCTTCTAACGCAGATTTCCAATAAACTACATCTTTTACTGCCAATATTGATCCCAAAATGTCCAGGAAAAGAAAAGTTGATG